GACTGGACACCTGGTCCAGCAAATGCTTCTCGAATTTAATCCTGCCAAATGCAAAGTCATGAAGATAGGGGAAGGGGACAGAAGACCACAGACAGAGTATAGGCTAGGTGGCCAAAGACTGCAAACCTCACTCAAGGAGAAAGATCTTGGGGTGAGTATAACACCGAGCATGTCTCCGGAAGCACACATCAATCAGATAACTGCTGCAGCATATGGGCGCCTGGCAAACCTGAGAACAGCATTCCGACACCTTAGTAAGGAATCATTCAAGACACTGTACACCGTGTATGTCAGGCCCATACTGGAGTATGCAGCACCTGTTTGGAACCCGCACTTGATAAAGCACGTCAAGAAACTAGAGAAAGTACAAAGGTTTGCCACAAGGTTAGTTCCAGAGCTAAGGGGAATGTCCTATGAAGAAAGATTAAGGGAAATCGGCCTGACGACACTGGAGGACAGGAGGGTCAGGGGAGACATGATAACGACATATAAAATACTGCGTGGAATAGACAAGGTGGACAAGGACAGGATGTTCCAGGGAGGGGACACAGAAACAAGAGGCCACAATTGGAAGTTGAAGACACAAATGAGTCAGAGAGATAGTAGGAAGTATTTCTTCAGTCATAGAGTTTGTAAGGCAGTGGAATAGCCTAGAAAATGACGTAGTGGAGGCAGGAACCATACACAGTTTTAAGACGAGGTTTGATAAAGCTCATGGAGCGGGGAGAGAGAGGGTCTAGTAGCAACCGGTGAAGAGGCGGGGCCAGGAGCTAGGACTCGACCCCTGCAACCACAAAAAGGTGAGTACAAATAGGTGAGTACACACACACACGCACACACACACACACGCACACACACACACACACACACACACACACACACACACACACACACACACACACACACACACACACACACACACGCACACACACACAACACGCACACACACCCACACCCACACCCACACACACACACGCACACGCGCGCGCGCATATACTACAGGCCTAGTGTCTAATCGACATGTGCCTAGGACAAAATGGTAACTAACACACACAACCTGTGCAGTCTGATGACTCTTAACACACCAGATTGTACCATCACATGACCGTGCACCATCACATGACCGTGCACTATCACATGACCGTGCACCATCACATGAACGTGCACCATCACATGACCGTGCAACTATGACATGACCGTGCACCATCACATGAACGTGCACCATCACATGACCGTACACCATCACATGAACGTGCACCATCACTTCACCGTGCACCATCACATGACCGTGCACCATCACATGACCGTGCACTATCACATGACCGTGCACCATCACATGAACGTGCACCATCACATGACCGTGCACTATGACATGACCGTGCACCATCACATGAACGTGCACCATCACATGACCGTACACCATCACATGAACGTGCACCATCACTTGACCGTGCACCATGACATGACCGTGCACCATCACATGACCGTGCACCATCACATGACCGTGCACCATCACATGAACGTGCACCATCACTTCACCGTGCACCATCACTTCACCGTGCACCATCACATGAACGTGCACCATCACATGACCGTGCACCATCACATGACCGTGCACCATCACATGACCGTGCACCATCACATGACCGTGCACCATCACAAGACCGTGCACCATCACATGACCGTGCACCATCACATGAACGTGCACCATCACATGACCGTGCACCATGCACGTGACCGTGCACCATCACATGACCGTGCACCATCACATGACCGTGCACCATCACATGAACATGCACCATCACATGACCGTGCATTATCACATGACCGTGCACCATCACATGACCGTGCACCATCACATGACCTTGCACCATCACATGACCGTGCACCATCACATGACCGTGCACTATCACATGACCGTGCACCATCACATGAACGTGCACCATCACATGACCGTGCACCATCACATGAACGTGCACCATCACGTGACCGTGCACCATCACATGACCGTGCACCATCACATGACCTTGCACCATCACATGACTGCACCATCACATGACCGTGCACCATCACATGACTGCACCATCACATGATCGTGCACCATCACATGACCGTGCACCATCATATGACCGTGCACCATCACATGACCGTGCACCATCACATGACCGTGCACCATCACATGACTGCACCATCACATGACTGTGCACCATCACATGACCGTGCACCATCACATGAACGTGCACCACCACTTGACCGTGCACCATCACATGAACGTGCACCATCACATGACCGTGCAAAATCACATGACCGTGCACCATCACATGACCTTGCACCATCACATGAACGTGCACCATCACATGACCGTGCACCATCACATGACCGTGCACCATCACATGACCTTGCACCATCACATGACCGTGCACCATCACATGACCGTGCACCATCACATGACCGTGCACCATCACATGACCGTGCACCATCACATGACCGTGCACCATCACATGAACGTGCACCATCACATGACCGTGCACCATCACATGACCGTGCACCATCACATGACCTTGCACCATCACATGACTGTGCACCATCACATGACCGTGCACCATCACATGACCGTGCACCATCACATGACCGTGCACCATCACATGACCGTGCACCATCACATGATCGTGCACCATCACATGACCGTGCACCATCACATGACCGTGCACCATCACATGACCGTGCACCATCACATGACCGTGCACCATCACATGATCGTGCACCATCACATGACCGTGCACCATCACATGACCGTGCACCATCACATGACCGTGCACCATCACATGACCGTGCATCATCACATGACGGTGCACCACTACCTGGAGGATCATCAACTCTTTTCTTCACTCTTGTATCAACCTCAACTAATTCTTTAACACACCACTGATGTCTAGTGATGTTCGAGTTGGTAGGTGTTAGTAGTGGTGGTGTTAGTAGTGGTGGTGTTAGTAGTGGTGGTGTTAGTAGTGGTGGTGTTAGTAGTGGTGGTGTTAGTAGTGGTGGTGTTAGTAGTGGTGGTGTTAGTAGTGGTGGTGTTAGTAGTGGTGGTGTTAGTAGTGGTGGTGTTAGTAGTGGTGGTGTTAGTAGTGGTGCTGCTGGTTGTGTTAGTGTTGGTGTTTCTGGTGGTGCTAGTGGTGATGTTAGTGCTGGTGGTGTTAGTGGTGCTGCTGCTGGTGGTGTTAGTGATGGTGTTTCTAATGGTGTTAGTGTTGGTGCTGCTGCTGGTATTAGTGGTGGTGCTGCTGGTGGTTTTAGTGGTGGTGCTAGTGGTGTTAATGTTGCTGGTGGTGTTAGTGGTGGTACTGCTGGTGGTGGTGTTAGTGGTGGTGCTGCTGGTGATGCTGCTCCTGTATCTACTGTACCAGTACAGATGCTCCTGTTACTCCGTGTGTGACTGTGGAATAAATATGACTGTGGAACAAATATGACTGTGGAACAAATATGACTGTGGAACAAATATGACTGTGGCACAAGGTGTTGAGGGAGGAAAGTCTGGTACAATATTATAACAGTCTGAATCATTATATATTACCAGTGAACACTGCTCTGTTATCACTGCTTTCATCACCATACTGTCCGCTCTTCTCCGTGGTTCACATCTGATTAGTAACATATAATGTCACACTACAGGTGTATGAAAGTAACAGTAACGTGTAATGTCACACTACAGGTGCAGGAAAGTAACAGTAACGTGTAATGTCACACTACAGGTGCAGGAAAGTAACAGTAACGTGTAATGTCACACTACAGGTGTATGAAAGTAACAGTAACGTGTAATGTCACACTACAGGTGCAGGAAAGTAACAGTAACGTGTAATGTCACACTACAGGTGTAGGAAAGTAACAGTAACGTGTAATGTCACACTACAGGTGCAGGAAAGTAACAGTAACGTGTAATGTCACACTACAGGTGCAGGAAAGTAACAGTAACGTGTAATGTCACACTACAGGTGTATGAAAGTAACAGTAACGTGTAATGTCACACTACAGGTCCATGAAAGTAACAGTAACGTGTAATGTCACACTACAGGTGTATGAAAGTAACAGTAACGTGTAATGTCACACTACAGTGTAGGAAAGTAACAGTAACGTGTAATGTCACACTACAGGTGTATGAAAGTAACAGTAACGTGTAATGTGACACTACAGGTGAAGGAAAGTAACAGTAACGTGTAATGTCACACTACAGGTGTATGAAAGTAACAGTAACGTGTAATGTGACACTACAGGTGAAGGAAAGTAACAGTAACGTGTAATGTCACATAAAACACACCACAGGTGAAGGAAAGTAACAGTAACGTGTAATGTGACACTACAGGTGAAGGAAAGTAACAGTAACGTGTAATGTCACACCACAGGTGAAGGAAAGTAACAGTAACGTGTAATGTGACACTACAGGTGAAGGAAAGTAACAGTAACGTGTAATGTGACACTACAGGTGAAGGAAAGTAACAGTAACGTGTAATGTCACACCACAGGTGAAGGAAAGTAACAGTAACGTGTAATGTGACACTACAGGTGAAGGAAAGTAACAGTAACGTGTAATGTCACACCACAGGTGAAGGAAAGTAACAGTAACGTGTAATGTGACACTACAGGTGCAGGAAAGTAACAGTAACGTGTAATGTCACACCACAGGTGAAGGAAAGTAACAGTAACGTGTAATGTCACACCACAGGTGAAGGAAAGTAACAGTAACGTGTAATGTGACACTACAGGTGCAGGAAAGTAACAGTAACGTATAATGTCACACTACAGGTGTATGAAAGTAACAGTAACGTGTAATGTCACACCACAGGTGTATGAAAGTAACAGTAACGTATAATGTCACACTACAGGTGTATGAAAGTAACAGTAACGTATAATGTCACACCACAGGTGTATGAAAGTAACAGTAACGTATAATGTCACACTACAGGTGTATGAAAGTAACAATAACGTATAATGTCACACTACAG